AAGGAAAATCCCTTCTCTTGTTTTTATTTTTTGATGTCATCATGCCTGTCGAATAAATAAAAAAAATTCAATATTATAATTTATTTTGTTCAATATATACATAAATTTATCAAAAAATTCAATACAAATTTATGAGCTTCTGGTTAGAAGATGGATTTGGGGCCATTTAGCTTTTGGAGTCAAAGACTCTCCTTAACTTCAATGCTAACAGCAGTTAACAGTTTTTACTCCACATTCTATGGGTTGTAATCAAGCATCTTAAACTTGTTCAACACTTCCTTGGCATAGCCTTCTTGTGAGATTAAAATGCCATCACCACATTCATCCATTTGTTTCACCTAAAGGGCCAAATAGTATGGCATCACCCCTATCTATGTCCATCATCTCAAATTTAATTCACATTGCATTTTTTAATTGTTCAAACCTACTTGGATTATTACTGGTAAATTATTATACTATAATGACACCAAAGCCTTCATCATCTATATCTTATGACTTCTAAATGCTGATTTTTTCATATTATTTAACCTCACGATTATGACTTAAAAGAGAACGCTTGGTTAATATTGCCCAATGACAAAGACACAAAAAATGTCACCAGAAAGATGCCTTTCTTCCCGACAGAGTTCTGTTTCTAGACAGGAATCTCTTGACAGCTAAACAGACATCTCAAACAGCAATGACACAAATCACCAGCATTTACCAATCTCTCATCTTTCAACAATTTGGCCCCTATAATTTTTATCACTGCGAGTATACAATCACATAAGGATCATAAAACAGATTCACACCAGTCCGGCATACTCCGTTCTTCACAGGCAGGCGCTCACTAAGCTAACAGTCGAAAACATTCAGAAACCAAGTACAGATGCATCGAAGTTCAAAATTAAAAGTAATACCTTTTCTATCAGATGACAAACGGATTAGAACAATAGAACAAACTTTCATCTATTAGCAAAAGCTATCTGGGATCAAAGGTACAGACCAATCTTTAACAATACAAAGTTTTCTTTGATAAAAAATAAATGTCAGCTACAGAGGCAATCAGTAAAACCCTTCATTGGGCAGTACAGGCATAGTGTTTCCAGTGAGTAGTTGTAGACTATAAACAGTAGGTAAAAATTTGAAACAATTTTACAACGTCATGGATCTTGTTAAATGCCACACTTGGGGTCCAAACTCAAAATTTGCTTTAGCATGTCAAATGTTGGCTCAGATGTTATACCATTTTGACAATAAAGAATTTGGCCAGCAGCTACCTGGCAAGCAATTGAAGCAATGAGATGTGTTATCCATGCCCCATTACTAAGGGTAACAAAATCAGCATCTTCACACCCAATGCTGCAAGAAAATTGCTTGTTCATATATAAACCCTGAGTTGTCACTGCATGGAAAAAGTAGAACAGTCAGCACAGAAAATAATTCACCACCACAAAAGAGAGGAGGAATCCTCTTCAAATGCCTAATACCAGGGTGTGTGGCCAATAGGTTGGTTATGTCTCCCCCAGCTCAAAGAGCTGAGTTTGATTTCCCACTCCCCAAAAGCTTTTGACTGATTAAAACAAGTCCCAAAGGTAGCTTTGACTGGTCAGCTAACCTCTAGGGTCTAGATCCCTGTTATTAGACCCTTAATTAATATTTATTATTTTTCGGAAAGTAGAAAATATTTTGCTGAAGTCTACCTGCCTCCTTACATCATCATCAAACAGTTTCATGTATCACAATGGACCAACAATAGTTCATATTAGGCACTTCCTCCCCCATCTCCCAACCATGCAGTATTAAGCTCTTGGAAACACAGGGAAAGAAGGACCAAGGAATTTGACATGTAAATAAGCAAAATTCTTCATCAGAATTGCATACATTAAGTTGGAAGAGAAGACATCTCAAGTTCATCATCTAACATCCCATTTGATACATCTGGCTTTTGAAAAGAATCTTTCCTACCACGTTCCAAGGCAGTTGCCTCATATATCCCTACAAAATTTATGGAGAATCATACATAAGATCTCTTGAAACTTAGGAACAAAAAAATTGCTTATGGTAAACCTGAACAAGTTCGAGGGCCAACATCAATAAGAGTTAGTTTTTATTGCTTTGCATTGAAGTTTTTTGCATTGTTTTTCTGAATTTTCAGTTTTGTGCTTAAAAAATAATGAGTTGTTTCTTTGTATTTTTTTTCCCTTTCCTTTACTCATAAGAAAATAAAACTTTACTGCAAAAACATACTTAAAAAGGAAGATAAAGAGTTTGTTCATGGAAAATACTGAAAAGTAATAAGAGGGAAGGGAGGCAAGATAAGATTTCATCCTTGTCTAAAAACAGATATAACAGGCTATATTCCTTGTGTTGATATATTTACTTTACAAGATATGACAAAGATGGAAAGGTGCTGCTTCTGCATGAAAAGCTTTATACATCCAGATCCTTGGAAAACTTTCCAGCAACAAAAGATGAGGTCTATGATGTAACATTAACAAAAGTATGGTATATCCCATGTGATTAATAATAAGAACCCTCTCTAAATAAAATTCCTTCCTATGTGTTTAGATTTGAATGCATCACCATTTTGACCAAAAGGGGAAAAAAAGTTCTCCCAAGGAGATGCACCCATCTTTATCCATAGTTCATTCACTTTAAGAAAAAATAAAGAGAAAGTTATACATACCAAAGCCCAATATTGAGGAGCAAATTACAAAGCCTGCCAGGGAAAAGTCCATTTTGTACACCATCTCCATGACAATTATGCATCCTCCAGCTGCCATTAAATGTCTTGGAGAAGAGAAAACCATGTGCAACCTATGAACAGATAAAGTTGTTTTACATGTGAATATGGTACCAAATCGAAATGCTTAAAACTGAATTGGAAATTATTAATGCAAAATAAGCATCAGCACATGACACTCCCTCCCATCTTTTCCTTTCCAAAATAAAAGGAAAAAAGAGAAAAAAGGAAAGGATTATTTGAATTAGAATATGTGGAACATACAAGAATGAAAAAAAAAAAGATGCAAAAGGAATGTAGCACGAGGGTTCTAGCACATTATACAGAGACAAATTTTGACAGAAAATAGGATGACATCATGCCACGGGTTCTTCAGAACTAGAAAAATCATAAAAGCCAGAGCAATGCTTTAGTTACTGTCATACTTCTCCTCTGCAATGCTGTCAACGTAGAATATCAAGATTATTCCAAAGAGAATAGTGCTTAGAAAAGCCCAGGCAGAAAATGGCAGTTCCACACTGCTACCAGAAGATCCCTGAAGTGCTCAATTTAAGCAGAGGAAACAACAAAAATTTGTCAAACAAGCAAAGATCCACAGAGATGAAATTAAACATGTACATTCAATGAAATTATAACAACGAATTTGGAATCATAGAACCCTTACTATGATCAAGTCCCACATGGCCACAGGGAATAGAAAACACGTTGCAGAAGCAATGGTTATTGCATGAAGCCGCCTTTTGAGTTGATTCTAAAGGCAGAGAACGACAACAATTACAGATTACAGTTTTTATTCATTAGTTTGCAATAATGAGGGGGGTGGGTGCTAGTAGTAGCTGAAGATTTTCAGCTGACAAAGAGCCCACAAGATAACTAGAGAAACATTAATATCACTACCTTGAGTGAAACACGCCTTGCAATCACCCTTCTCAAAGCTGATAAGATCCCAGCCAAGATGGGAATCATCATTTGGCTCATACCCAATACTTGTTCAGCCTGAACATCAGAATCAAGGCTGTCTCTGAATGGTATTTATTAGTTAAGTTTATCTCATCAAACTTCAATGAGCAAATGTTCAGAACCAAAAAAGGAAAATAACTGTTACAAGATTAAGGAGAAAAAACAAATAAGATAACACTAAACAGCTAGCCTATTGGATTGAAATATCCTAGATTTGAGGAAAGCTTATGTACAAGAGGATATAGAACGGAGAAAATGTTGCCAAGGCCCAGCCTTGGGATAAGAAATAAAAAGATGCCAACATCGCAATAAGCCCACCAACCTGGTAAAATATAAGAAAAGAGCAATATGATTAGGGCAGAAAAGACATCAATTATCAGATATTTTGTCAATTAATTCATGAAGTTGAGCACATATAAAATTTGATCCTAATAGCACCACTAATTTCAATTCTAAACGAAAACTTATATAGCAGTAAAAGCAACATGCTGAAATAAAATAACCAACTACTTCTGAAGAGGTATAGTATAAGCTTCATAGCCCAGGACATCCTAAGGTAAAACAACTTTCTCCTCTATATCAATCCACAAAATGAATGGACATAGACTATAGTTCAATGTGTTACCTTTTTCCAGACATGCCCTCTTCTACCATACAATACTGCAGATAATACTCCAAGAACAGCACCAGAATACTCCGCCAATATAGCTCTAGAGAAAAATAATAATAATAATAATAAGACACGGAAACCATTAAAAACTTCATAGGGATTAGTGACCATAGACAAGATAGAACACACAATTGTTCCAAATTTAAAAAAGGAAGTTAATGACCATAGGCAAGGTAGACCACACAATTGTTCCTAATTGAAAGAAGAAGAAAAAGAATCCACATCCATGTTTTCCATGATATCCTGACAAAAGCAGGTCAAAGATCACACAGGTACCATCCACGACACACTAGAAAAGGAGACAAGATTATTAGGCTCATGAATCTTAAGTTCAGGCAATGATGCCCTTGACTGTATAGAGTATACACAAGCTAATGCAACAACAACCAAACGTTATTGGGCTGTTAACACCATCCGATTCTTATTTCTTTTGTGGCAGGGAAGGTGTGAGGTTAATATTAGTATAAGAGAATGCATAAAGGGGATCCAACTAAAGAATGCAGCAAATATGCAACAGACCTTACAAAAATCTGTGTGTGTGTGTGAGAGAGAGAGAGAGAGAATTCCAAATAGAGCCTAAGATGTCATAAATTAATGAACTAAAAGAATTTTTCCTCATATATCAAAGAAATCTTAGAAATTGCAAGAACCGCGATAAAAAATAAGTTATCCGTAGTTCAAAACAAAACATGAAAATATTATATTATGTCAAACCATCCTGCCTAAAACCAATAGTCTATAGGTGGTGACTCATAAGTCCCAGCCTAAATATAAGGTTTAAACAAATGCCAAACCAATCAAACATGGAATATAACACCACTTAAAAGTCTCTCCGGGGTAAGTCCAATAGAACAATTAAAAGAGGGATGGGCCTATAAAGCAAACCATGCAATGAGACAACCTGCTTAACTTATCATGTGCATGTTTGCCCATTCCTGGAATTTTGAATTTGTCAAAGTTGCGCTCTCATAACAACAAAAATCAATTCAGTACTAGAACAGTCCAAAAATAAGAAGTCCTTTTTTTTAAATTAAAATTTTAAATCCATGTCCATCTTCAGTTTTGGCAATACAATAAGATACTTATATTCTTAAATATAAATAACTGCAATGGAAACAATAAAACTTTCATGGTTCCTAAAAGCTAGGAGGCCGTAACCAGAGGGGTTTCTCATACCATTAACAAATAAATAGTTATGTATGTATGTATGAACAAAACTTAACACTAGTGACATAGAAGAAAATAGAAAAGGAAAATATGATGGCACTTATTCTTTAGCGAATTAAATTGCGTGCATACATCATATGGAGTCTTGAAAGTTTCAAAGATAATTATACCCTCTTCTCTGCCCAATGAAATTAAATTATGTATGTTTGAGGCATGTAAAAATGAACAGACATAAGAAAGATTTCCTTAAAGCACCAGAAAGCTACCTAAGTGGCCCACATGATTTAAGGCCCTTTCCCCACAAGATGAAGTACAAAGCAGCTATTGCACCGTTTATAAGAGATGGAACAACCTGAAAATTAACAAAGACTTCAAAAAAGAAACAGGGTGAAGGCAAACCATACAAGTTATGCACTCTTTCTTCCAATTGTTATTATTTCCTGATAAAAAGAAGCAATTCTACTTAACCTGTGTATTTGAGAGTGGTCTTCCCTTCCAAGGCTTTTGCAAGAGTAAAAATAAGACAGATGAGGGAACTAGACAACTGAAGATAAAAAGCACCACTGAAGCTCCTGTCTGGGTCAAGTAACGATACATGGAGTAAACTGACCATATTCTCAAGAAGTTTCCAACAACATGGATTATCTGCAGAGGAGTGTGCCTACAAGTAAAAGCAATTACTGGTAAAATCATCTCAGAACAAGCAAAATAAAATGTAACACAAGCTAAAACTTTTGATACTGTTGCTATCAGTTTTACTGAGGACACTGAACAACAATGATGTGCAATATTATTAATGCCATGATTGATGCATCAACTTGAAAAAGTCAAGACACCAGAAAGAGGCATATATGTGTGTTTACAATGTTGCAATCTTGAACTGCTATGTCTAACAATAACAGAGTGACAAAAACCTAGATAACCATAAATTATAGGTTAATGAATCTAATGTCACTCATAGCATTTTCTCATGAATGAATCTTGTATTTAGGTCAGCATTCTAAAGGGTATCATTGAGGTACAATCCTTG